AAACATAGTAAAATATGTGACCAATATTTGCATAATCATACCAGTATTACATTTTAATGATTGAATTTACAAAAACTGATATAACTATATTGAGGGGTGGAGGAGAGGCAGCAGAGGATGTAAAAGAACCAAATCGTCATCTGTCCTCACAGGAAGTCAACTGAAAATGTCTATAAATGACGATTCAAGAACTAGTGCAACAATATCATATAGGAATATGGAGCTTAATGCCAGAGAAGCAGGTAACAAAGTTGAAAGATCCTTAGTCTAAGAGCAGAGTAGGGCTTGAAGGGGGATCAAGAGGGGGAAGGGCGGAGACTTTATTATTCAGTTTTTAGGCTTCGTGCATGTAACACTTTGATAACATCAAAGCCATAATAAAGTCAGGCTGCTCCATTAATCCCTCTCTCTTTTGCCCCATGGAAATTTCATTGCGTTTGGTTGATGAGATCTGTGCAATGGGAACATCTGTCCTCTTTGCGACCATGTCCTGGGAGAGGAGTTCTCTGCGTCTGGCTAACCTAGATCTTGTCTCCAGGCTTATTCCTCAGCTGACTATGGTCGCTGAGGCTCCCCAAGAGCAGAGGGTCGCCCTGTGACTCTGGGATCCAGGGCTCTGGGTGAGGGGCAGAGTCATGAGGGAGATGCTGCCCCCTAGCTGGACGTGGGAGCTGCTGGGATGCCGCGGTGGTGGCTGGGAGCCCAGGACCCTCTCCTTGCCAGGTTTCCCTCTCAGGCTTGCAGGAGGCATCTCTGCACCAAGAGGGCTTTACTGTCTGTCTGCAGAGGAGGGAACCCACAGCAGGAGCCAGACAATGTAGTTCTTGGAGATGGCTCCTCCATCATGATGTGTGTCTGCTGTGAAGCTATTGAAGTCAATGAGACCAGAATTACTTTCTTAGGGGACTGATGACAAAATTTAGTTTCCTCCCTCCTTGGCACATATCATTCATTCCAGGACACCAGTTTATCTGTGATGGCCTTTTAGGAGGCTCAGTACCTAACAGCAGGTGTGGCTATTTCCTGTGGATTCTGCTCAAAGGGAAAGGAAGGCACCGACAGGTGGAGATCTGGGTGCCAGGCACCCTGCAGTTTGCATTCACTTTCTCCTTTGAGATCTACCACAGCCCTTTGAGGCTGGTGTCTAACTTACAGATAAGGAAACTCAGAGAGGTGAAGAAACATTTCCAAGGTCACAGTGCAGGGGTGGAAGTAGGATATCAATCCAGGTCTGTCTGAATCCAAAGCCACCTAGACAAACTGGAAACTGGTTGGGACCAGAATTTCCTTGGTCAAAAGACTGCATTGACACTTATTTCTTATCTTCCATAATTGCTGTCCTGAGGCTGGCCCTCAATGCCCAGGGCTGGGCTAAATAAAGCCCAATTTCAGTGAGATATTGGCTCTGTGCTGTTTTCTCTTTGGGCATTTGGTGGGTGAGAGTCTATTCATATGCCCTTCTTGCTCTCTGGTGTTACCATGTGCTTGAGAGATGCAGCCTAGCACTCAGGCTGCAGTTTGTGATTATAAAGTTAGCATAGTCCAGTGGGAAAAGCAAGGACTGCAGAGCCAGCCAAGTCTTGGCTGTGTAAGCCTAGGCATGTTATTCAACCTCTCTGGGCTTCAATTTTCTTATTAAAAAAGAAAAAGGTTATGGGAGGCCCTACTTTATAAGGTTGTCACAAACATTAAGAGACCCAGCTAACATGGCCTGCCATGTAGACAGCCAGGATTTCTAGAGACTCTTCCTGTTATTAAATGCTCCACATAAAGGCTGATTTGGTCTAAGGCCATTAGCACACAGTGGGCTCAGAGCAAAGCCACAGGGATGCCCTTTCACTTTTATAAATTAAAATCCCAATCAGTGGTGTTGTTTGTTAGTTTTCTAGCCCATTGATTTTTCTCTCACAAAAAAACCTTGCTTATTTAGAACCCCCCGGAGAACACCAGAGTCCCAGGATTGCTGAGGATTATCTTAATCATTTTCTGAAATGTTCTGCCTCCTTCCTGCCTTTATTAACAGAGCCCGGGCATTCTCCAGCCTCTTGCCAGCCCTCTGAAATGGCACTCTCAGCCAGCAACTCCACGCTTCTGTGCTTTCGCCGAGCTACCCGTCCAGGCTGCTGCTGTGCCAAGCCCCACATGTGCATTTTATGCTTTTCTGGGACCTCTACTTAGGCTACTGCAGCTGTTGCCAGGATCCTTGCGATTAGCAGCCCTTTCCCCACTTGTAATATCCTATGATTGATATTCTGTGACTCAGAAGCCAGATAACAGGATGCTTGAGTTGTTTGTGAAGAGAATTTGGGTTCTAAAGGGGTGCTCCTCCCGGGAGTCAAGTGCAGGTTTTCGTGACATTAGGGTTTGCACCTTGGTTGCTTTTTCCACCTTTCTTCTCTGTGGTTTTCTCAATGTGCCACGTCATTGAACTTGGAAAGCACAGGTATAGCTGGGCTGTGTTTTATAAAAGATGGATTCACGGAGGCCACCTTGGAAAGGTGTGCAGAGTACAGCAATGAGGAGCTCCAGCCCTGGGGCAGGAGGATGGCGACCCACC